AAAGAACATACAGCTTAAGTTTTGTATCTTCTTTATGTAGCACTGATCATTTGAGCATGGATAGGGAACAAGTGAGAAGAGTTATGAGGAGGGAAATAGCATGCATTAAGAAAAAACAAATGCTTTCTCAACATTTACTTTCTCAACATTGCATTCATCTGTTTCTAACACGTGGAACTGCTTATCATTGACAAATAGCCCATGGAAGAATAATATAAATTAAGCAAGAGAATGGGACAGGCTGAGGATTTTAAGTCTTTTAAGTCTACCTCAAAATATTTGTTACTATTTCCAACAGATTGATGCATCTGGCTATAGAAACTACCTGTCATTAACTTCAAAGGGCCTTTTGTTTGAGTAGTATCTTTGGGGATTTTTCCATAGGAAAACTGCACAGCCTACATCTGGCTTGCTTGCCAAGTATGACAGGGAGTCTAGCGATGTCTGCTGCAAGTCAGCATTGTTCCCAATGATCCAGGACAGATTCCCCCTGTAGAATATGGATGACTTCACTTTTTGTTAAGTACACTCCTTAGCAGATGCTGCACAGTAATATATTCTGAAACAAGAGTCAGCATTGGGAACTACACCTGGACTTTAAAACAACATTGATTTATATGACATTAATTCAGTGTGATGTTTGCTACTGTTTGGCAAAAAACTGCATACAAATAAAATGCTGTTCTGTTACTGACACACCTTTTATTTTTACAAGATAATTAAAATACACATGTGCTCTAACAGAACTGATTACAAGTCAAATTGGAGCTGTAGGAAACAGCTGGAAATGAGCTGTTTCGCCTAACCTAATTTGAATTCAGGACTTCTGTTAGTGTAAGTCCAGAACTAGCTAAAACAATCCACAGGGAAGATTATGATGTATGGTAGGAGCAGGGCATACCTTTACTTTCTTGAATGGGCCTGTCTCTGCTGAACTGCTCCCTCCCCTACACACAAAGCCAGAGAGCAGGGAAATAGTGCCAGAAAATCGGTGGATTATTGACTCCCAAGGCAGTAGCCAGTGCAACTAAGACAATCTGGTAGAGGAAATAATCTTCGTCGGGTATAGGGTGAGTGCACATTATTTCTTCTTTCCTTTCTGGAGAAAGCAAGAAACTGGGTCACTTCTACAGTCATTTAGATTCCTAGTCTGCCCTACGGCAGCAGACAATGTGCTGTCTTTTACCCAGGGGGTGTGGGAAAGCCACAGTCTGGGTCACAGTTTGCAAGTTTGGATATTATATGTATATCTAATTAAAACTGAATGTGCATCTTCCAAGAGTGGCAGATGGAACTGTGTTATGGATCAAAAGATTGCAGAATAACAGTATTAATATAAAAATGGTGGTGCTGAAACTTTCAAGATGGTATCAGATTCAATCCCATTTGTGTTAGTTTCCAAGACTGCCATTGACTTTAGCAGTAGTTGGATCATCACCTAACTGATTAAAATCCCAAGCTCCTAGAGATTCTCTTTTTATTTGAGATTTATACATCTATCTGACTTCAGTGAGACAACTCATATCCATGAAAGTCCTCCCTATTGCATATTTTGCAAGCTTATCGCCATTGCTTATCACCATTGCTTTTTGCAAGCTTATCACCATTGCATCAATAGAGATCCACAGTGCAGCATGAAGACAGGAATTTGATCTAAAAGCTTTCACTTTTCATGGGGTTTTTTTCTTTTTGGTGATGGGAGAGTTTACCATGGACCATATTTTGATCTCTCTCTGATTACAGCATGGATATCTCCTCCAAGGGCAGGGAAACTCTGGAGCCAGGATTTCATCTGAAAATCTATCGGGCATTCTGTAATCAATACCTGGCACTGGCGTGCCCTGCTTCCGATTCCAAAACTGTTAAATTTCTGCACCACGCTCTCAATTCTGCAGTGGGTATTCAGTTTTTCAAATGGCAAGAAAGTTATTGGACAATGGTGCTGTGCTGGTGTAGTATTTTCAGTGTTCTGAGTTATGTCCTTCAGCTGGCAACAAAGGGCAAGATCATGCAGCCCTTATGCCATTGCCTTTAATAATTTTGTTCAATTGCAGGTAACTAGCCCAAAGCATCAGATGATGCACGCATGTGTATGCACAAGCACACATTCACGTGCGCACACTTACAAACCTCCTTCACTCACTTGACCAGTATAAGAACCACGCTTTCTAAGCAGGTAACTATCTCAGTTGATGTTCAGAATCCATCATAGCTGCTTTTCTGTAGGACTGAGAGATAGCTATAGAGCAGCAGTTCCCAATCTGTGGTACATGTACCACCAGTGGTATGCAGACAACCTGTCAGTGGTACATATTAACAGATTTATTATTATTACTTTATATGACAAAAATTTGGTAGTGGTACTTAAGGTTGTATCATTTTAAATTGGTGGTGTGCGATCTGTCCGAGTTTAGAAACTGCTGCTATAGAGCTCTTCAGAATTCATTAACTTGTGCTGAGATTTTCATGAGCATTTTCAATCAGCAGAGCTAATATATATATTTATAGAGAGAGAGAGAAAGACAGACAGAGAGAAAGTCGAAATCAAAAAGTTTTGGGGCGACATCTCGCTATCAACAAAGCTTTTCATCAGGAAGGTTTCTGTGGTCCAGGGTGGAATCCCTGAGCATGTCTAGAACAAGGAAGACCCTGATGGAAAAACATAAATCTTTAGGCACAACGATTTTTGTCTTGCAAAAAAGGCTGTGTTTTCATTACACTGCAGAACAAAAACAGATTTTGAAATCTCGGTCATGAAACAGAACTGCCAGCTCTACCTGTTAGGATTAATAGAGGTTACCCAAAGGAATCTCACAAAAACTGGTGGGCTCACAACACTGTATAGGCTAGTCAGGGCCCTTAAACTTTGCTCTGAGTAAAGCACTGGCTCATAGCTTCCCTGAAAAGACCACAAGAAGAGTTGTGCCTTAGTTTCAATTCCCTCCTTGCTACCACTTTGTTCTGGTGGTCAGGCACCTTATTACATCCATTTTCAGGATGTCGCATACTCTTTCGTCACTGTTGGCACACTTTTGCTGTACAAGCAGCCACGTCTGTTGGTTGTTGCTTTGGAAAGGTGGAGCTTCTGCCTTCTCTCCTTCCACTCTCATTCTTGCTCTTTTGCTCATGGTATATCAGGAAGGCACTGCTTGCTTTTGCATAGAATCCACACTATGAGAGGTTTGCCCCATAGCGGTGTAGGAACAGGACACGATCAACCCCTCTGGGAGAGGAAACAATGTTGATATCAAAGTGGGCTCACATAGGAGTCACATTTGTTACTAGAGCCCAGTGAATAATGTTCAGCAATGTGGCCTTTACTCACCACAGTTGAGCTCTGAGGGCTCTTTATTGTTCTTTGTGCGCGTGTGTTGGTTTTACTACTGTCACATCTAACATTTATGAGCACTTACAACATTAGCTGGGTGTGTATTGCAGAAGGAGCCTGTGTTTTGAAGGCTTTTTGTTAACAGGTTTTTAGAGCTTACATTTTGCCACCTAAAATACAAGTAATGGGAAGTATCTTGCAAGTTAATCACTGATTTTAAAATATTGGATTCTGGTTAGCTAGGGAATGGAGGTCCCACTGCATAAGCACTTTCTGCCAAGAAAAGTAATTGAAATGTGAGTAATGAGAGTCTATGGTTAACCATTACTCTTTAAAGATGTATAGTGCATTTTAAAGGCTGAATAAACGCAGCCTATTTTTGCTGTCGCTTTCCCCTGTTAGCCCCTCTTTGAGAAGAAATTCTTATAATGTCCCAGGGGAAAAAGTATATTTATATTTAGTAATAAAAAAATAAAGCAGTGCAAATTGAACAATAAGGGTCATATTTCCAAGAAAATGGAGGACCATCCAAGACAATGGAGGTATAACAGAGCACAGGGTCTCTGTTACTTAGAGGGGCGTGGGCAGCAGCAAGGCACCCTGCAGCTGGCTATAGTCCCAATTAGGCAGAGCTGCCTGATTGGGGAACAGGGCCCAGCTGTGCCTTCTAAGGGCTGGGCCCTGAACAACAAGGCTAGCAGTTTGCTCCCAGCCAGCCAGCCAGAGAACACCACCCAGTTGGAGTTGCTGCTCACAACATCTTGGAGGTAAGAGAGGAGATATGGGGATGGTTGGAGGCTCATGGTCCTGGGCATGATTGGAAACTGCACCCTGCTGGG